TTGTTTACAAGAACACCTTAAAGGAAACTGCCAAACTGTGTTTACTGCATCTTCATCATGGGATTACAACTGATAAAAAATGTCATGTTTCTATAGGGAGCCTCCCCAGATATGTGGACAGTCTTTTCCAGTCAAGGAAAGATGGGAATGAGGTTACTGCATCTGTGGCTGAACTCAAATGGACTCATAAGGGGTAGAACAGAGAAAACAGTGTAAAAAACATAAACAACAAAAATCACAACACTATTATCCAGTGGTTTGCATGTTGTCAAAAAAAAACCTACGATAAAATTAATTCACCTTGCTGCAAAAATCTACCAGGACAAGAACACCAATACAGATCACTCAGGGTTTGATATCTACATAATCTTCTTTACCAAAGGGGTTGTCCCTAGAACAAGGATTCCAAGCTATCCTTTTATACACAAAGAAAACCAAAGCCACTTTAAACATGGATTCATGCTTCACAGTTCATCTGCTTCATCTTAAATCAAATTTTTTCAAGTTGCTGCACACAAGGTTACAACTTTTTAAATAAAAGGATTTAAGTTTCAGCTATTCTCTTATTTGGGTAAATGAAGGATATTTGAGATTTCATGCATTTGTTAGAGGAGCCACACTGAAGCAGTCTTCTACCTCACATGACATCAGAGACCACAATTACAGCTAGAACAGAAGAGTTTTCTGGGAACAGTATCAAACTGGAAGCTCAGCTGCACATAACACAACCAAACATGTTTAATCTTTATTACTATATGAGAATTTACTCAACATCATGCTTTAAATCTTAAGACTTCCTAGATTAGGGTCATGTCGGTTTCTTTGATATCACACTAGGTGCGAGACTGCATGTTCTCTTTGGTTATACCTGACACAGAGCTTTCACCTGGGGACAGCAGCTGGGGTGACAACGTTCTCATACACCTAAAGAAGCACCCACTTCAGAACACCACTTTAAAACAAGATCCTTATGACACTTCAACAGTCCTTTGCAGTCTGCTGTTAGTTAACGGCCAGGACACGTAGCAATGACTGACTGAAAGGTTAACTCAGCCAGGAAACATTAGAATATATGAAAATACAACAAGCCAGGATCAGTAACTCTATCAGCAACCCTGAAAACAAAGATTGTGTGTAATGGGTAAAAACAGATTTAGTTTTCTATGAATGCTGGGGCGCTACTCTACATTCAGACAAACTCTAGATATCATTTTACAAGTTATCTCCACTGAATTATTTACAGAGGGAAAAACTCTACATACCCTCTTATTTTACGGTGGCCCAAAAAGAGACAAGTCCACTATTAATAATTTCAGTTCACACTGTGATTCTGCTTTTTGAAGAAAGTCTCCTGATAGCACCAACCTATTATGCTCTGGTAGAATCACAAAGCAATACTGGAGTGTACAAAACCAATTAAATACTTTTTTTCCTAATAAAAGTAAACTGGAGGATGCAGTCCACGAACATACCAAACTGTCCCTGACTCTTAATGGGACTCAGTACACAGCACCAGAAAGGAAGTTCTCTGATATACCTCCCTGAAGTATCTACAGCGAGGATGTCACACTGGAGAGACACAGCTCTGCAGGTTTGCAATGAGTCTGTGCAACTTCCTAACACACACACCCTGCAACAGGAGGGCAGGGGACAACGGGCTAGATTGCACAGCAGACTACGTAGGAGAGGCAACGTCATGCTTGGCGTGGCTGGTCCTATACTGCAAAGAAGTTAGACAGGAGACTTGCCACTGCCGACTTCCAAGCCTAAGAGTAAAAAGGCCAGGCCAGCTGAGAGACCACCGAGCCTCACCCATCCCTGTAGTTGCGAGGGCCACGAGAGGCCCTGGGACGCTCCCCGAGGGCCACCCAGTACTGAGGGCCTCACCAGGCCAAAAGCAAGCAGCGCCCCGGTCTGCGGCCTGCTCAGACCGCCAAGAGACACAAAGGGGTCCCGGCTGTTCCCCGCCAAGGATCGGGACCCCGATCCCCGCTGCTCCCGGCCGGGACCCGCCCCGAGCCAGCCCCGGCGCCATGCTCGCCCCTCCCGCGCCCTCGCCGTGGGAGGGTCCCGTCCTTCCCCCCCCCCCCCCGCCCTCCTTGGTTCCGCCCGCGCCGGTGCCGGGCGCAGCCCCGTTGGTTCGTCCCGCCCCTCACCGTCCCCGGCACTTGGTTCAGCCCGAGCCCCCCGCCCTGTCGCCTGCCCTAGCCCCGCTCCTCACCCAGGGACATGTCGATCTTCTCCACGCTCTCGCCGCCGCCGTGCCGGGCCCCCGCCGCGGCCGAGGAGCCCGGGAGCGGTGCCGCAGCACCGAACGCGTTCATGGCCGCCTCCCTCACTCCGGACCGCCCCACAGCCGGGCCTGCGCATGCGCAGCAGCTCCGCCCAGCCAGGGCACTGCCGCTCGCGCCGGGCAACGGCGCAGCGCCCCTCTGGCAGCGCGCCCCCTGGCGGCCGGGAGGAGCAGGTACAGCGGGCGGGGGGCGAGGCGGGGGCGAGGCCGGGGACGAGGCCGGGGGCGAGGCGGGGGCGAGGCCGGGGTGAGGCGGGGGCGAGGCGGGGGCGAGGCCGGGGGCGAGGCCGGGGGCGAGGCGGGGGCGAGGCGGGGGCGAGGCCGGGGCGAGGCGGGGGCGAGGCGGGGGCGCGGGTCCCGCGGGGCGCCGCGGCCGCTTCCCGAAGCGGCTTCTCCAGGGCCGGTGTCCTTGGGAGGAGTGAGGGGCGCACCGGCCTGGGCCCGGCCGGTTGTGCGGGCTGCAGACCTGCTGGGTGCTGAGAGGAGTCACGGAGGTGGTTGGAAGCACGGAGCGCCTCTCCTATGAAGACAGGTTGAAAGATTTGGGGGTTTTCAGCCTGGAGAAGAGAAGGCTCAAGGAGATCTCATTACAGACTTCCAGTACTTGAAGGGGCCTCTAAGAAAGATGGGGAGAGGTTTTTAAGCAGGGTTTGTTGCAACAGGACAAGGGGTGATGGCTTTAAACCGAAAGAGGGTCGATTTAGACTGCATATAAGGAAGAATGTTTTTTACAATGAGAGTGGTAGAATGCTGGCACAGACTGCCCAGGGAGGTGGTGGATGCCCTATCCCTGGAAACACTCAAGGTCAGACTGGATGGGGCTCTGAGCAGCCTGATCTAGTTGAAAATATCCCTGCTCATGGCAGGGGGGTCGGACCACATGGCCTCTAAATGTCCCTCCAATCCAAGCATTCAGTATTGCAGGGCAGGGAAGGGTGTTCAGCTGAGAAGCTGACTATGAGATGCTTTTGCCTGTGACCCTGTGCAATTGAGAGAATTAATCTGTTCTGTGAACAACAAAACCAATGCAGCGTGGTTTTGAGCACGATTATGTTTTGAAACGTCAAACAGCAGAGTTCAATCTAGGTTCTCATTTCAAAATAACATGTAAAGCTTAAAATTACTACTTAAGCCCAGAACAATGTGTCCATAAATTGTTCTCTTTGGGTTCTTTTCAGAGTTGTTATCTTTGCCAGTTTTTGGTCAGAATCACATGATTGCGAAATTCAAAAGAGAAGTTGTTTTTTTTTAACAAGGAATCTATCAAAGCCTTTCCCTCCTCCCTGTATATTTGCATTCTTTGGAGCTGTGGTATTGGTGGGTCAGCAGTACACATGTGCCTAGTGGGCAGCTGGCTGCTGCTAAACAAGTTACACATAACAGGGCTTTTTTACACAACAGCACTTTCTTCATTTGACACTCTATTACAATTAAGGGATAGTGATTATCTCTACATCTTGCTCATGGTTGGTTGAAATTGGTCACTGAGTTCCAGAGACAGAAAAAGAAGGAGCAGGTGGACTGACAAGGTGATCTCAGAGGATGAACTTCCTTCAGAAGCTAGGCAATAAATGCTGAAAGGAAAAGCCACACCTGTTTCTCCTCACAACAGTCACCTGGCATTACTGTCCACACCTCCCCGAGTTTTCTCTGGGAGCTGTGCTGAGGCTGCCGTCCTAAAGGTGGCATGACCAAAGCATAGCTTGTTTTAGGGTCTGCCTGCTTGCCTCCAGAGGGGGAGCTCCATACTGAGACTGCAGGGACTGTATTGCAAATGCCCTTGGGTAGGGATAATTATTTCCATACATGACCTTGCACACTCCTCCTTCCAGCAGGAACACTCCCACATTTCTTTCATTGCCCACATATTCCATATGTGCATTTGCTAAAATAAACACTCTGTAGCAAGTGCAATATCCCGAGTACCTGACACACAGTGAGCTCCAGCGTGTGTAATCCCTGTCACAGTTCTGTCCTGCTGTGCTGGGAGCTACCTGCTCTGAAAAATGGGAGATCTTTTAGGAGTGTTACTGTGAAAGGCAAGAATAAGAGGAGTGAGTTTAAGCTTTCTGTCTTCAGCTGTGACCTGTACGACAGACTGCTGACAAGGCCTTGCTCTCTCCATTTACACTCTTTATCCATCTCTTTTTGAATAAGGCCAAAAATATGTTTCTGGATGTTCCTCTAGCTGCTTCCTATTGTCTAGAACAGAATGGCTCAGTTACTGTCACAGGACACCTCCAGCTAGTGAGAGATTTTCCCTTCAGGCAGGAGAAACTCGTGACCACAGTGCTGGAGGCTGACAGTTCCACCCTGTTTTCTTCTCTGTGTTCTCCAGGGGCAGCAGAAGTTCAGACATGGAGTTTTGGACCCATCGATTTAAAAACTTTTGATAACATTTTCCCCCAGGTGAGACTGGATGACAAGTGATTGATGACAAGTGGGAGGTTCTTATAATCAGGCTACATTTCTAAAGCAAATATGCTATTGCCAGGTTACCATGAACTACTAAAAATAGAGGTGCTAAAAGATATATTTTTGAAAAAGCATTAAGTCAAATGCCCATGAGGCTGAAGGGTCCAGCTCCATCTGGGGACTGTGTCACACCAATAAACAAATGCTCTGTTTACTCCAAACAAACACATGAACTGCAAAAGGGGCAGATGCTACCTGTCCTGGTGACAAGTGAAATCAAACAAAATCCAGATTTTACCATATCCACCAGTTGTGTTTATTACACAAACAGGATACCAGCTGTCTGCTGCTCAGCACAACAGAAAACCAGGCACAAGGTGTGATCCTGAAGAGTATTTTCTTTCTGTGTTCAGAATGGTTTGGGATCACAAAGGCAACCATACAAACATCAGCTCTTGGTTTGCTGTTTGGCTCTCAGGAGTGTGTCAGCATCCAGCCAAGTGACAAATCTTCTACGTGGCACTGAGGGCTACAAAGAATGAAATTAGAGCTGTTAGTTTTATCTGCATGTTCCATTTCACCAGACATGATCCTCTAACAATCACAGTAGTCCAGATGACTTGATTTCCTCCAATATGTTTACTGTGAGAGTCAACACAGTCTGATGCCCTGAGACCTAACATGCCGTGTACAGGCAGTGCTTTCAATCAGTGGGCTCTACAAAAGGAATTTCTGCCTGATGACTGGATTCAAGTTGTTCCACACTTGTATGCAATTATGATGCATGACAAGTCCTGGTCTCTTCATTAAGCATGTTCTGAAAAATAAGTTATTGTTGTTATTATCAAGAACAGCGGTACAGAATTTTGTATCCCTCTGTGCTGTGGAAGTACTGTACTGGTAAAATAAACCACGTAGAAAATGTCGGGTCAAGAGGTGCTTTTTCATGTATGCAGCACAGAGTTATCATTTCAAGTAACAGTTATAGGGAATTTCCATTTTACAAATGCCTGGCTTTGGTTTCTGAGGCATCAGACAACTCCAGAGACGTATCTAGGTTTTCTCTCAGATAATAATTTGTCATTGACTATTCTCAGCATCACTTTTTCCTTTTTGAAGTCTCATTTCACCGCATTTCGGCGGAAGGCACGTCTTTGCTGCATTTTCCACGTCCTCCTCGCAGTGGGCGGTAGAGCAGAACGCTCTTTCCGTTTCTCTGTCTCTGCAGGTGTGATCGGTGCATGGGCTGTCCCTCAGGGACACGTTGTTTGGTTGTTTTTTTTTTACCTTGCCGTCGCATTTTCCTCATCACGTGCAAGGCAGGATTTCGTGAGGGTTATTTCACCAATCCTTGTGTTTTTTTCCCAGCGCTTTGAACGCGGGGGGACACCGAAAGCTCCGGGGCGTGGGAGGCTGCGGCGGGCCGCCCGTCATAGCGCCCGAACGCCGCGGTGCACGCTGGGAGTTGTAGTCCGTGGGTGCGGCGGGGCGGGGCGGGCGCTCGCCCCTCCCGCGTGACGGCGTCGCGGTGGCGGCGGCGGGGCCGGGATGGAGATCGGGCCCCACGCGGGGCACGCGGAGAGCCGGTGGGGCCGCGCGCGGCGGGACACGCGCGGGAGGGGCGGGGTGCCGGGGCTCGGCCCGCGTGGGCGCCCGGTGGAGGCGGGGCGGTGGCGCGGGTGCGGTGGGGGCGGCAGTGCCCGGCTGTGGGGCTGCGTGGGGGCGGCAGGGCGCTGTGTGTGCGTGTGCACGCGTGGGGCGGCCACACTCGCGCGCGTGTGTGTGTGTGTGTGTAAGTGTCTGGGACGCGGCGCGGGATGTGCGTGCGGGAACGCGGGTGGCAGCAGTGCCAGCGCTGCGTGGTGCCTGGGCAGCAGTAGGGATGCGTGAGGGATGCTCCTGGAGAGCTCACGTCCTGCGTGGGTGCGTGGGGGTACCTGTGGGCGAGCAGGGAATGAACAAACCTCTCGTGAGTCGGATCGCTGCTTGCAGAGCGTGACACTGCCCCCGGCTCGGTCTCTCGTGGGAGGGAGCACACAGCGGGCCGGGCTGTCAGAGCCATCACCCACCCGAGGCCAGCACATCGCTCTACTCGCTGCCCTGGGAAGGAGTCTCAGCCACTGGAGCCGCAATGATGGCCACGGATGTGTACCCTCAGTAGCTGGTGCCCTGTCCCCGCTCTGTCCCCATCAGCCGTGGGCAGCACAGCAGCTGCCAGGTCTCTGCTTCACATGCCTTGAGCTTAAGGGTGAAACCACCGCGCCCTAAAGCCGTGCTGCCACCCTTCAGGTGGTTCTGCAGCTTGCTGCTCTGGCATCCTATCTCCTGTCCTTCCTGGCAGTCATCTGCATCCCCTCTTCTAGGTGCTGAACAGAAATTTATTTATTTATCTCTTTATTCCTGAAGGCGAGGCCCTGCACCTGCCTGCACATGGCTGGTGGTGAGCATGGTGATCTCGGCTGTGTGGTCTTCATATGTGCTTCAGGCCTGGTGCTTTTTTTGGTAGCATTTATGAGCAGCAGAGGCTGTTTCCTGGAGGTGTTTTGATGGCGAGTTCTATTTACTTCAGGTTTTTACATGTGCAATGATTTTGCCCTGGCGCTCACGAGCACAGGGCAAATGTTGGATGGAAATTGGAAGTGTTGGCTGGGGAGGAAGGAGCAGCCGAAACTTGATATGGGAGAGAAGCATTCCTTATCTGAGGGGCTCAGCCAGTCGCTCTATTCCTGCTTGCCATATCAGCTGGGAAAATGCTACTGGTGCTTTTAAAGCTATAGCACAGGTTTGGGGTGCCTTCTGATCTGCATGGTTCGAGCTGTTCTCCCTCTTTACTCATGCTTCAGACACAGCAGGTTCCAAACGGTAAAAGGAATTGACTGCATTCACTGCTTTGTCTTTCCAGGCTCATCTTTGTGCATTTTCTTGCCTTTGCAAGCACAAGTCCTGCACTACCAGACTCTGCCATCGTGTGACTAATAGGGATGGGGTGGTGCCATCCCCAGCACTCCTACAGGGACAAGGAGGGCATCATCCCCCATTGGTGCCTGCACACGCAGGAGCCTGCTTATTCTCCTGGCTCGCACTGATGCCTTGGGAAGGATCCAGCATGGGCCTTACGCTGCCTTATCCTTTGTGTGATGTGGTTAGCATTTTTATTCCCAGTGAGGTGCCATTTCACACTGGATAGTGGCAGTTACCAATAGGGAATATATAGAGATCACTGGATCCATCTTCTTGTGCATTACAGAAAATGCAGAAACAAAAGTTATTTTGTTGAAGTCCATCCTTCAGTCAGCACGGGAGAGGAAAATGAGGACCTTGTGCTGGATTTTTCCTCCTAGCAGCAGGTCTGAAATGCATCAAGTGGCAGGGCGGTAATGCCAGTGTGCAGGGAGGACATTGTCCTTGGAGGCAGGAGGCTCTTGGTGTGGTGCAGAGGACACAGCAGTCCTAGGGGGAGCAGATGGGCCAGTGGTCAGCTGGGCAGGTTAGCAACAAGCTGCCACGTTTGTCTCTGGCACCAGGAAGACCCTCAGGGACAACAGGGCCAGAGGAGAGGGTTCCTGAAGAGAACCTGTGCTGTGAGCAATGGAGGGATGTGAGCAGCTGCTCTCAGTGGGGTGGGCTGCTGTGGGGATCTGCTCTGCCTGTCACTGCCTTTGGCTGCCTGCACAGGCAGGTCCTGTGCAGGTTGAAGCCAAATGGACACTACCCTGGGTCAACAAGTTGTGGTCATCTGCTTGGGAGAGACTTAGCCAGATGAGCAAGTGAGCTGTCTGCCATGGGAAGGTTAAAAAACACCTTTAATCCCTATTTTCTTCCCTCATCCTTTGCCAGTGCAGAGCAAGAATGCATCAGCAAGCAGCACGTCTGGGCTGTGTTTGCTGGGGGCACCTTTTGTGGTTGTGCCCCCATTTTCTATCAGTGCCAGCTTTTAGCATGGATGTGAGTTTCACTGCATGTTCCTTTTCCAGCCAGCCTGCTCAGCTATTCCTGCCCATCCCTGCTGGGCTGGCAGAGCTCTTCTGGCTTCCTCTGCCTGTCAGCCACTCCCCGCCACTGCAGATGAATTGCACGAAGCCTGGCTTTCTTTAATCCCTTTTCCCAGCAGTGCTGAGCCTGCTGGAGGAGCAGGCGGGGGAGTCCAGGGAAGGGGCTGCTGGTTGTCTGGGAGATCTGGGGACAGCGAGGCAGGAGCAGGCTCTGTGCAGGGCAGTTTTCAGTTTCTGCAGGGAGAACTGACAGCCAGCACAGGAATGAGTGTCCTTAGATATTTGTCACAAATCGCTCCATAACCTCAGCATCCTTAGGCCAACCTGTTTAGTGTGCTAAGAAGGATCAAGAGAGTCTTCCAGGTGGAGGTCAGGATTCAAGCAGCCATTGTTGGTGCCTCCTGCAGAGCACAGGAGATACACAGCAGATGATGTTTGCAAGAAAGATGAGCTTCATTTTTATTTTTCATTTTTGAACACTGTCTACTTGTGTGATTCTGTTTTGGAAAGTAATCAGGGTTTGGTTTTATTTTAAATGAAGAAGTCAGCAGCATGGCTCCTTGCCTCTGCTGTGAGTCAGGTTTGCTGACTTGGACCAAGAGAAGTTCCTACCCTTTCTGGCATGGAGGGGCTGAAGAAGCCTTGGAAGAGCAAGCAGCATTCCCTGTTGTCAACAGTGGCAGCATTAGGCCATTTTTTGCTACAAGGCTGTATTCTGTGTTTTATCACTCCAGTGCAAAAGGTTCAGTTATATTTGGGAGAGTTCCCGATGGCAGGTTGGTGTTGCTGTACTTGAAGATGGAGTTTGCTGTGGTAAAGAAAGGAGACCCAGTGCCAAGTTCGGTGGTGGAGTTGGTCATTAAAATTGGAGGCTGAATCAGAGGTTGTGTTTAAGGGAGGAGAGGGATGCAGCTGACATCTCACTGCTGCTCCATGGCCCTGCCAAATACCCTTGGCCCTTCTGACTGGGGGAACCAAGCTCTGCTAGATCAGGAGAGCAGAAACACATGTGGTTCTTGCAGGGGAAGCTCTGGTCTTGTTCTGTGACCCTCTGGGGTATTACTCACTTTGCCTTACTGTAAATTGGGGTGTTCTCACAATGTAATATGAATTTGCTTTACCCCATGCCAGGCTTTCTATAGCATTAGCAAAGTAGAATTCTCCTTATTCAGGAAAAAACAGATTTCTTAGTAATGCTCTGAACACCAAAAGAAAAGGGAACTTGGCCTATCTTCATCCCTTCTGGCAGGGGAGCACACCCTGCTGCTAATTCAGGGTTGCCCCAGAGTCCAGTCAAAGCTGAAATGTGGTTAGCTGTGCTCTCTCCATTTCCCTGCCACCTGCAGCCAGCTGTATGGGTCCTCATGTCTTCAGCCTTGTGTCACTCTGTACTTTTCAGCATGTTCCAGCCCAGAAACAGCTGGGGTTTGGATATCAGAAAGATCTTGTGTGTCCAACTTGTGAACTGCTTTGGGCCAACAAGTCCCATAGAATACTTACTGTCTACCAGGATTTAATTCACTTTTGGTGGGTTCAAAATCACCTTTGCAAAGGTGCTTTAATTATGTGGCTTATTCCCTATGTGCTTCTGTGTTCAATGTTTTAACATTTTGTGATTATTTTGTTCAAGGATTGCTTACCCTTAGTTTCCCCATGCTAGGAAAGAGCCATGGATCCTGGTTTTTACCTCCTGAGATGCACAAGTCCTTTAATGAGACCAACCATTCATTTAGAAAGGCACGTCTCTGTGTGTGCTACCCTTGTACACACATCCTTGTGTGCATCACCTGCTTTTTATAGCATGAAATAACATGGGAGGGAGTTCCCCTGACTCACTGACTTGGAATATCAGTGGCGTGGCTGAGCTTTCACTTGCATTTCCTAACTCGGAGTGTTAGAAATATCTTAGGGAGGAGCTGCTGATGTTCTGAGCTCAGTGGCTGCAGGTGCTCTTTGACCAGGGACTGCTGGTTCCTCTCTAGGCACCCACAGCCAAAGAACATCTGCATTGCTCCGGGCAGGGATGGGAAAAGCCCCTAAATTCAGCAGAGCTGGATCATGGCTGTATCTCCTTCAGGAAGCTGCCTTTGATTTACATCTACATTTTTCTTCAGTCTCGTCTGAGATAAAGCCCCAGGCCTATTAGTTTGAGTACAACATGAACATACACATGCTGCTGCATGCACTGCAGGTCTGGTATAGAGCTGTGGTGCTGTCAGGGTGACAGGCTTTGCTGGTGGGATGGGTTGGTTTCTGTGTGGTTTAAGCTTAGGTGGGCACTGGAAGTGGTGATGTTTCCCTCATGAGGAAGTGATGTGAATGGGCAGCTTGAAGTAGAGTCAATAATTAATGATTAATTAATCTGGTTGTTCAACTAATCAGTTTAGCAGTAGTGAACAAGTCTCAAAAAGAGGATATTGGTGAGAAAAGCTTTGTTGTAATTACCAGGAGTATGCAGCCCACACTTTGATCCCTGA